AAAAAAAAAAAAAAAAAAAAACTCATAGCCAACACATCTTTATAAACAGAAACACTCAATGTTATAACCATTGACTTTGTTGTAAACAATTCTAATTGACTTTGTTGTAAACAATTCTAGCACTCGTGCTGTTTCACACCCGTGATCTGCACTTCCCACTTCATGAGGCACTTAATTAAGTGGTGCATGATTTCCAGTCACGTATGCTAACAAATCTTGGTTGCTTGGACTTGCATTTTAAATTCTTTATTTTAGGCCAGGAGGGATGGCTCACACCTGTAATCCCAGCAATTTGGGAGGCCGAGGCTGGCAGATCACCTGAGGCCAGGAGTTCAAGACCAGCCTGGCCAACATGGTGAAACCCCATCTCTACTAAAAATACAAAAATTAGCTGGGCATGGTGATGGTACGTGCCTGTAGTCCCAGCTACTCGAGAGTCTGAGGCACAAGAACTGCTTGATCCCAGGAGGCAGAGTTTGCAGTGAACGAAGATCATGCCACTACACTCCAGCCTAGGCGACGGAGTGAAACTCCATCTCAAAAAAATTCTTTTTCTTTATTTTAGAAAATGCAGAATTTGCACAAATTGTATTTTCTGAGCTAGATAAAAAATAATAAGAATGTTTTTAATATTTGTTTTGTGAAACTAGGAAATGTCTTAGTAGGTTGCTCCTACAAGTGTGTGACTCCTTGAGAACCAAATTTTTTCTCTTAATAAAAATGTGCATGTGTCTGGCTGGGTGCGGTGGCTCACACCTGTAATTCCAGAATTTTGGGAGGTCAAGGGAGGCAGATCACTTGAAGTCAGGAGTTTGAGACCAGCCTTGCAAACATGGCAAAACTCCATCTCTAGTAAAAATACAAAAATTAGCAGGGCATGGTGGCGCACACCTGTAATCCCAAATACTTGGGAGGCAGAGGCAGGCAATTCACTTGAACCCGGGAAGTGGAGGTTGCAGTGAGCTGAGATTCGTGCCACTACACTCCAGCCTGGGTGACAGAGCGAAACTCCGTCTCAAAAAAAAAAAAAAAAATGCAGATGCCTGTCGCTGTGTGTCTGTGTGTCTATACTTGTGTGCTTATGTGTGTCTGTGTCTGTGTGAGAATGGACTGGTGAGGTCAGAGGTAGATGGGTGATCTCTAAGTCTTGCTTTTCTCCCTTTTGCCTTTTCCATTTATCACTACCTAAAGATTCTCAGTGTGAAGTGGCAAAGCAGCCTGGAGACAAAGTTTAATGAATTGATATATAAAGTTTAGAGCCCGCTGGTTCTGATCGGTGATTTTCAAAGGGTACCTAAGAAGAAGCCAAAATTACCATCATCAGTCCGAAGTTTGTCAGAGTTCTATGTGACTGGCTGAGGAAGCACTGCTTGAACTTCCCCATAGCCTCCGCGGCGGCCTCGCTGTCTGTGAATTCTTGAAGAAGCTCTTTGTACTCAGGTATAGATATGTCGGAATTGATGGTCTTTTCAACCACATCCTCCAGGAGTTTGCAGCCAGAATCTGAAAAAAAAAAAAAAAATACACAAGAACATGGGCCATTACCAGAGGTGTGAGCTCATTTTACGGATGAGTTGGGAAAGCCGGCTGTCTTCGTACCT